ATCTAGAGGAATCTGTAGCGATCATTGAAATATCACCGAATATTCTTCGTCGCCAATTAGTTCGTAATCGCCTATACGACCGTTTCTGTGAAACACAGAATTCGTAATTGCGTAATTTGTCCGTATGGCAGGGACGGTGACTGCATGATTTCAGGTGCGATATACCTGATTTCTTGTGGTAACAAAATAGGTCTATCTGTGCATAAAGTTCTCTTTCAGTTGAGGACTCCTATATCAATATTTGTTATGGAGATGACTTTCTTCATCCGACAAATCGCACGTAGATGTTATCGCCATAGAATGACGCATTTCCAGTTATAGAGGAATCGCTATCTGTTAGTAAAAACGGTAAAGTTCTCGCCGTTGATCAATCCCTGAGTGATGCGCCATGCATTGGACTTTATTAAGCATCGTTAGGTCATTGAATGCATTCCTGGTTCTTAGTATATGCATAAAATACTCTAAAATAATTCAGGTAGAACTAGTATCCGCGTATGTTGCTACCGGTATACAGCAAAATAGTGTAAGTATAGCCACTCCTTCAGGTCAATTTGAATAATTTGAAGCCTCTTAGGTGGAATATACTGGCAGAAGGCGACTATCCTTTAAACGGCATGAGAGTTTCATCGATTTTGCAAGCCTTTATATTATGCTGCAGTTCTTCGTTACAAGCTGTATTACTGGTGTAGTCTAGGGGCAAGGTTTCTCGACTGTCATCTATTGCGTTGTTGACGTAATGAGTGTTATCCAAAAGGTTTTCAAATCTACCACTTATTATAGTATGGAAGTGAATAGAATGAATGACATGCAAGAGAACAACCGGAATTGTAGTAATCCATAAAATGTGAGTATTTCATAGTTCACATCATAAGGCACGAACCGATCAGTTTCTCCATCTCATAAACAGTTGTTGATTTTCACAACCCTGTACTTCTGTACTCCGTATCTTTCGTTCCGTTTACAAACCGTTCTCGAATATCAGCAATAAACAAAGGAAAGTTTTCCTTTTTCTAGTTTGTTTCAGTCTCTTCGATGGTAAACACGGAAAATTTCACATTGTCCTTTTCATAGACGGTGACAGTGATGAGGTTTTATACTGGAGCACAGTATAACAACATATGGTAACCAGTACACCTTATGTGGACTTCTAGAACGATAGACAGAAGTCGCTTCATCTGCGTAATCTCGTCTTTCGAGTCCTCTAGTTATCAGTAAGATGTGGTCTCTTATCGAGAAACCGGCATGGTCTGTTATATCGTGGTAGCTGTAGAAGTTTATACTTATACTGGAGAAGAGTTGTACGAAGTCCATAGCTGACATGAAATTGCGCTTCATCCTACATCTCAAACATGCAAAATTAGGTGTTGTGTTTTACTTGTTAAAGAGTAATAGTGTATGCACATTACTTTTCATTTTGTGCGGTGTCCCTTTCAAATCTATTACTAAAGTGTTTTAAAGGTGGCAACTACAGCAACTTCGAAATGTGTCGAATGGCTTGGCGGAGTAGGCTTCACAAAAGCGTATCCTGTAGAGAAATTCTATCGAGACGCAAAGATTGGTAACTATAAGGTTTTAGTCGATAGTTTCTTTGTGGGTATTCTAACTAGAGCGTTACGTTCTAGGTGCCATCTATGAAGGAACATCAAACATACAACTGAATACAATTGCGAAACTAATCGATGCCGAGTACAAGAATTTCACATAGATAGTTCTTGTTTCTTAAGCTGGCATTTTTTGAGATATCAATCTTTAGCAGGTTCTTGTTTTGCAATACATATATATATATATATATATATATTTATAATACATATATATCACTTGAGTGAGAGTTCATACGGAGTGGTTTCCCACTGAACTATTATTAACTCTTTACGCTGTAAATGTCTGTTTATTGTATACGGAATTGCTAGTTTCCACGAAGTTGAAGGTTTATGATGAACACCTACAGAACATTTTACTTAAGAAATATCATTTTGCATGCTTCCATGAATAGATGGTTTAAAACAGCTGTGGTCATAGGAGTGCTTCCAGTTGTTTTCTAGATTCAGTTCTTTTTGTGGGAATTTTTCTCACTAAATCGGTGTTTTACCCATCTGTGGGTTATAAAGGTCGTACTTTAAAAGAACCAGTTTTTTCATAACCATCATAACTTACATTCTGAACGATTTGCCGCCTACAGCAAATCACGCTGCAGTTTTTGGCACAAGTAGCTGTTTCCGAATTCAAATGTTGAACTCCGATGTGTTTGCTTGGCAAGTTATACCAGACTTATCTGACAAGACGAAAATACCTACTTGGATACTTGTATGGCCCGTCCTCACTGGTTGTGCGAGCCCCAGCATCATCTCCATTTTTTCGGAGTTGTGCTGGTTTAGCCATTGTGGTCCCTTGGAGATCTGAGGACAGCCTGGTCGATGTCTGCCCCAGTTCGTTTTCACCACATGCAGTTTCCGCCTTTGTGGATCAGAGCTAGATTAGCCACCATGCGAGTAGTTTGCTACCATGACCGTGACGGATCTCAGTCTCTGTCCCTTATAGATAGTTTATCATTCACCGAAACTCAGGAACTACGCCATCCGAAAACTATTGGCAGTACTGTTATACCTTTTTATTTTCTGCCTACTAGAATTTCGCGGCAGGGTACTGAGCGAAATACAACCACAATGTTGCTGAGATATTTGCAAAACTCTGGACCACAGGTGTCTAAGGTGGGGAACGAACGCGCTATTCTCCTTTCCGGGGAGTAACGTGTTCACCACCACACCATGCGGGTCCTTCGTTTCGCCTGTCTCTCAGCTATTTCTATCGATCTTTGCCACGACAATAGCGCGTTCGTTTCCCACCATAGACACCTGCGGTCCAGAGTTTTGCAAATATCTCAGCAACGTTGTGGTTGTATTTGCAGTACTGTTATTGCAAACGTTTGAAAACATTACAGTGTGGCATTGTATTCACAAGCTTGCATTGACCTCGATGTTGTGGATAAAGAATCATTTTGCAGTTTGCACTTTATTTGGTTATTGTTGAATGTAAACATCTATCTAAACAAAGTGTTCCTTCTGCTTTGGATGTCTCATAAAGTCGTAGAACATTCAAGTAGTAATGTAGTCACTTTAATTTATTGCCTATTCTTCCTTGTGGAAGGATATGATGTGAATTATAACCACAATGATGCTGAGATATTTTCACAACTCCGGACTGCAGGTGTTTGCGATGGGAATCGAATACACTATAAACCCCTTCCGGGGGCCAGCGTGTTCGCCACCACACCATGAAGGTCCTACGTTTCACCTTTCTCTCATCCGCGTTTGTAACTTATAACTGCTATCAGCCACGTGGTTACAAGTCAAGAAATAAATAATTGGTTGAAGGAGTAGAAACACCACCAATTTGGGGAGACTTAAATGTAATAAATACATGTATTCTTTCTTGATAAGCTTGCACGAGGTTGATATATTTATTTTCGGCTAACGTTTCGACGTCTTCGTCTTCCTCAGAGCCGATGATCCGAGTCGATGGTCCATGCTTGTCGTTCGTCTCGATGTCGCAGCTTCGTCTTCGTGTCGAGCCAGGTCTTCCTCAGTGAGCCATTTTCTCGAATGAGGCATCCTTACTCAGTGATGCACTCTGATACACGATGCTGATGGTGTATGTATAATGATAATGTCCGGTGGTAACAACTTGTATTTCTTCCGGACATCATTGCGCACATCGTGCAGAAGTCGGTGTTGAGGAAGACCTGGCTCGACACGAAGGCGAAGCTGCAACGTCGAGACGAACGACAAGCATGGACCATCGACTCGGATCATCGGCTCTGAGGAAGACGAAGACGTCGAAACGTTAGCCGAAAATAAATATATTTATCAACCTCGTGCAAGCTTATCAAGAAAGAATACATATTGATTAGTCACACCGAGGTTCAAGGATAGTCGGTTTCGAAGTAATAAATACAATTTTTGTGGCTAAAACAAGGTTGTTTTCCCACTTGGGCGCTATTATAGCGCACGTACACATGGAATACGATACGGTCTTCTGATCCCAGCTCTAGGCCATTGAGGCACCCGCGTACGAACTAATGACATGCTAATAATGATATGCAAATCCTTTCTTTCCTCTAGTGTACTCCATGGCCCCAGTCAATACCAATTTGTCCACAAGTGTCACTACTTGTATACGCAATAATTCTATATATGTAGTCGCTACTGAACACTTTGAATATTTCGGTTTCATGTCTACACCTTTAATTAGGGATGTATTGCTGTAACATGACTCTTCTTCCAAGTTGCATAAGGGAGTCATCGGCTAAGGTGTTTTCCTAGGTATGTAGATTCTTCCACCAAGTAATATCGGAAGGTGGTTTAGTGGTTGCTCTTGAACGATCTGTTTCTTCACTGGAGCTCGAATTTTCTGGCAAATTAAGGTGATTCATTAGTTTCTCAAATTAGGCTTTCAGCATAGCTCGCTATCCAATGGGGCATCATCATAACCATAAATTCCGAAGGTAAATAGAAGTCCATATCAGGAATAATAGCTTTAAGCGTGTCATAAAAATTCGTTGGTTATGTGCACTTAAGCGGAGGCTGTTTATGTTTACCTCTAGATTGATTGTTATCGAAGGTGTAGGAGTGGTGAGGATGTTGCTTGTTTGGTGCCTATAGTTTACCACACCGGGTCCATTCACAGATTCACTAGCACCTTCAGATTCTTACAGTATAAGACAACGCCTAGCAGAAGAGACCTTGGATTTAGAATGTGGTTAGTGATTGTGGTAGGAATTGAATAAGTAGATCGTGAGTAGAATAATTGGTTAGATTTTCATCGCTAGGCACGTTGAAATGTTGATTTATTCGGCACGAACCTAAAGTTATTTCTTCCGTAATACGGAACTGGATGTTGATCTGACTGTGCTCGAAATTGGCTTGTTGACAACTTTAGAAAGGTGGGTATTGCTCTTCATGGTATTATTCAAGAAACCTGTGAGGTCGAACTATAACGTCGATGCTGCGATAGATCCAAGGATGAAGTTGTCAGGTGAGCACACGAGGTCGGACTCCGAAGGAGAATGCTTAAGAATGGAATGGTCATTCGAGCGAAGGGTAGTGCGGTGAGAGGTTGATAACTGCTTTCAGTTCCACGTAATTCTCACGCGGGTTACATTCTGTTGCTTGTCTCTATAGCATTTGCCTCAAACGTGGATAACGAAACCCTTATACATATAAACAGTATAAACAAAAACACTATAGGAGAAACGCTATGAAGAAATAATATGGAGAGCAAGACATTATACTGAAAATGAAAGAATTGCCTTTTTAAGAGAATGATGAAGTAGCATGAGGAGAAGTGAGGTATAGAATACAACTCAGTTAGGAAAAGTAAAGAACATATGGTAGTGCAGAGGAGACGAATAGAAATTTTTGGTGATAAGTTCTAGATGACAAGCGAATAGGTATGCTAATGAAGTGAACGTGACTCTTTTCCAGTGTTTGTGCGCGTACAATGTCGACTTGCAAAGAAGTTATAAGAAGTTAGAAGAAGAAAGTAGAGCGCTAAATTAACCACTGGTTCATACAAATGCGCAGATGTTAACATACGAAGCTATTACAGAGCAGCTTCCAGCCAGCTGCAAGCTGATGAGCTGGAGGACAAATTACAGATAGAGCAAAGAAGGCGCATCAGGAGAAAGAGGATGTCCTATATTTTATGGACAATCTCTGTGCCAAGTCTTTCTCAGCGCCATTGGTTGCTCAGGAGTAGAGTTAACGCATTGAGCATATCGATAGTGATAAGCATGAAATCTCTTTAGAAGTAGGCATAGAAATAGTAAAATATGAAGAGTACCCTAAACACACAAAAGAAAATGCGACGTAGCAGATAATGCCTTGAAAAAGTTCGAATTCTGCCTTAAGAAATAGAAAGGATAGTGCTGGTGATAGGTGGCACGAAGACATTCAAGTCTAACAACACGAGATGTATTTGAGTCATCAACGCGTGTCAAAGAGTGTCGCATTCCGAAGCATAGATCAAGAAATCCGTCGGTTGGCGCCTTTTCTAGTGCGCGGCGTTTTTTTTTGACTTGTTACTATAGCTGACGTTTCGAGAGATGTACTAGAGCCGGGATATCAGCTAACCTGGTTAAATGCCGAGTTACTGATAGTGAAATTATGCTTGATCCCTACATGTGTTTGGATACTTGGATAGTTCTACGGTCCGTCTTCACGAGTTGTGCCGACCGCAGCGTATTTTCCACTCGTTTCTTTGCAACGCAGCCGACGTCAATGGTAGTGGTTTGGTTCGAACATTGTGATGGGTGCGAGTTTCACATCGTGATTTATGAAACAACTTCAGCTGCGGGTACAGCTGATTGACCTTAGTTGCGAGCACGTCCGCCCAGCGTGTAGATAGCCATCTTAGGGGACGCCTGCATTCTCATGGAGTCCACTCGACAGTTCTTTTCGTCCATTTGTAGTCTTTTCTTATTATACGACCTACCCATTTATGATTCGCTATCGATTTGTTACCTCAAAGGTTTCGAAGATGAGATAGATTTCGACGACCAGAGCTTCACGCTCTGGCTAGACCTTGTGTATGCCGGCTACATTTCAGAAGACATCGTTTAAGCGCTTTCTGAGAATTGCGCAGTACTATTGTACTTCTACGAGAAGAAGTTCAGGAGCATCCGGAATGGTTCCGAATTGGTGCCGAGTT